CTCTTGCTGCAGGCGGTGCTGCTGCTGCTGCTCAGCCAGCCAAAACTAACAAAGCCGATCCCAAGACGAAAAAAGATCCAAAATCTAAGAAAGACGATCCCACTACTGGAGACGATCCCAGTGCCAAAAACGACGATCCCAGTGCTCAAAAAGACGATCCTAAGGCTCAAAAAGACGATCCCAACCTCCACAAAGACGATCCCAATCTTGAAAAAGACGATCCCAGCGCTGGAGACGATCCCACTTCGGGTAACGGCGAGGAGGAGCGGCCCCAGGGTACTTTGTCACTTTGAAGTTTCAAAAAGTGCAAAAATGGATTCATTTTATCGTTTTTCCTGCTTTTTTTTGCTTTTTGCAAAGAATTAAGTGCCAGTTGAATTGCATGCTTTTATTTAATTCAAATTGTCTTTTTTCCCCGAATTTTGCATTTAATTTGCTTCTTTTTGCGCCATTTGGCTCCCAAAAATGTTCCTTTTTGCTGCAGGAGTTACCCTGCGGCTGGTGGCTGCCCACGGCTGGCGGCCTCGCCTGGCGATCTTCTGGGCAGCCCCGGCCTGCAGCAGCAGCAGCAGCAGCAGCAGCAGCAGCTGCAGCTGCAGCAGCAGCAGGGCAGCAGAGCAGCAGTGCCCGCCTTCTTCGCTGCTGCTGCACCTTCTGGAACACCCAATGCCTGGGGGACTTATGGACACTCTCATACGCAAAGGTCCGCCTAACAAAGCCCCACAAATGCATGCATGCATGCATGCATGCACGCATGCATGCATGCATGCATGCGTGCATGCGTGCATGCAGCCTCATCGAAGCCCCGAACGCGTGTCCGCATGCTTGCATTAAGGGAAGGATGCATGCATGCATGCATGGGGCTAGTGGGGCAGCTCGGGCTGCTGCGTTTGCTGCTGCAGGCAGCTGCAGCAGCAGGTTGCTGCTGCAGGTAGCTGCATGCATGCATGCGGGGTTTTGTGTCTTGAAGATTATTTTTTATTTTGGGACTTTTGTTTTTCAGGTTTGATTTATGAGGGCTTTGCGCTGTCGCATGCAACTTCTCGGAGTTTCATTTTGGGGCTTTATTTGAAGTTAACTGCTGCTGGGCAGCAGCAATCTGCTGCAGTGCTGCAGCTGGTGCGGCGCTTCGTGCTGCTGCTGCAGCAGCAAATCGATGCTGCCTTCATCAGCAGCCACTTCGAAGGCTTGGGGGCCCTCAGCAGGGCCCTCTGGGGGGCCCTGGACCCTCTGGACCCGCTGCAGCAAGTAACAGCAGCAGCAGAAGCAACTTTGCTGCTGCCTTCTCGCCCAGACATAGCCCTCAACACTGGCCTTTGTCTCCAGCCGCTGCAGCAGCAGCAGCAGCTTGCTGCTGTCAAGCAGCTGCTGCATGCGCTCGTCAACGGCAAACAAGTTACTGTCTTCTTGGGGCCCCAGGGGCCCCCCGGGGGCCCCCAGGGGCCCGGGGGCCCCCAGCAAGGGCAGCAGGGGGCCTCCCAGGGGGCCCCCCTAGCAGCAACAGGTTCCCCAGCAGCTTCGGGGGGGGCCCCCTACGAAGAAGCAGCAGTAGCAGAAGAGGGGGGCCCCCAAGAAGCAGCAGCAGCAGAAGACAGGGGGCCCACAGCAGCAGGAGGGCCCCCTGCAGCTGCAGGGGGGGCCCCCGGGGCCCTTCGGGAGCTGCCGGAGTATGGGGTACAGTACTACGTGGAGCCGACTGAAGAAGCAGCAGCAGCAGCAGCAGCAACAGAAGCAGCAGCAACAGGAACAGCAGCAGCAGCAACAGCAGCAGACGATGTCGGTGATGAGGGGAGCTCCCTGGGGGCCCCCCTTTCTGTGCCGGGGCCCCTTGCATGCAAAGTCCCCGAAGAAGGCCCTGTGAAGCCGCACCCAGTGCCGGCAGTTTGTGCTGCTGCTGCTGCTGCTGCTACGCAGCTGCCGTCGCTGGGGGCCTTCTCCCCAGCAGCAGCAGCAGCAGCAGCAGCAGCAGCAGCCGGGGGGCCCCCAGGGCCCTGCGTGCTGCTGGCCGATGAAAACTTGACCATCTTGTGGCACAATGGGGCCCCCTTCGGGAAGCCCCTGGTGAGGGCCTCGGTGCGGGCGCGAGTTGCTGCTGCAGCAGCAACAGCAGCAAATGATGCTTTTGCAAAAATGTTTGTTTCCATCTTTTCCAAAAAAATAAAATCCAAACTGAGTCATTTCCATGGCTGCGGAGTTGAACTCCTCGTGGCCTTCACTGCAGGCAGCCTCGTCTTCGAAATCCAGGCAAGCCAGCAGCAGCAGCAGCAGCAGCAGCGGCAGCACAGCAGCAGCAGCAGCAGCAGCACAGCAGCAGCGGCAGCAGCAGCGGCAGCAGCGGTAGCAGCAGCAGCAGCGGCAGCAGCACCAGCAGCAGCAACAGTTTGCGAGTTTTGCTGCTGCAGGCTTTGAGCCCCATGTTTGAAGAGATCTTCAAAGGAGTCGGAGAAGCTTTTCAACAAACTTTGGAAAACATCACAGAGACAGAGTTCGAGCAGGCCTTGCAAGAGGTGAGACAGCCAGCTAGCTAGCTAGCTAGCTAGCTAGCTAACTAGCTAGCTAGCTAGCTGTGGCTAGCTAGCTAGGTACCTGTAGCTAGCCAGCTGTAGTTGGGTAGCTGTAGCTAGCTAGCTGTAGCCAGGTTACTGTAGCTAGCTAGCTGTAGCTAGCTAGCTGCAGCTAGCTAGCTGTAGCTAGCCAGCTAGCTAGCTTGCTGGCTGGCTGGCTGGCTGGCTGCTCCTGGCTAGCTAACAGCTAGGCAGGTAGCTAGCCGGTTAACAGCTAGCCAACTAGCTACCTAGCCGTTTAACAGCTAGCCAGCTAGCTAGCTAGCCGTTTAACAGCTAGCTAGCTACCTAGCCAGTTGCCAGTTAGGTAGCTAGCCAGCCAGCCAGTGAGTAGCTAGCCAGCCGGTCAGTGGCTAGCTACGTAGCTTACTGGCTACCTAGCTAGCTAGCCAGCTAGCCAGCCAGTTAATAGCTAGCTAGCTAGGAGCTGGCTAGCTAGCTAGGGGCTAGCTAGCTGGCTAGCTAGCTAGCTAGCTGGCGCGCTGCAGCTGCGGATTCTTTTCTGCTACTGTGGGAAGGCGAATGGCACTGAAATGAATGAAATAGAATTAAATTAATTAAATTAATTAAATTAAATTAATTTAATTAATTAATTTAATTAATTAAATTAATTTAATTCATTTGTTTTTGTTTTGCTGCTGCAGCTGCTGGAAGAGACACAAGACTTCGCAGCTTCCAGCGCCTACGAATTGGCTTTGGATTTATCTCTTTCGCTGCTGCGGCAGAGCCGCTTCAGCCAGTTTGATTTGCTGCAGCAGCTGCAGCAGCTGCAGCAGCAGCAGCAGCAGCAGCAGCAAGGGGGGGGATTTGCGGCGTTCAAGGCCTTTCTCAGCAGCAGCTTCACTCGCACTGCAGTGGATTGCTTCATCATGGGAGATGTTGCTGCAGCAGCAGCAAAAGATTTGGCGCTGCAGTTCGTGCAGCAGATCCGCAGCAGCACAATTCCCTACGAAGAAGCAGCAGCAGCAAAGGTGAACAAACTGCTGCTGCTGCTGCTGCTGCTTCCGGTCTTTCGCAGTTCCGGCGGCTCTTGCTGTTGCTGCTGCTGCCGCTGCCGGTGCTTCTAGCCTGCTGCCGCGGGTTCGCTGCAGCAGCAGCTGCTGCTGGAGCGTGCGTGTATGGCTCTTGGCTTGCTGCCGCTGCTGCTGCTGCTGCTGCTGCTGCTGCAGACGGCGAGGCTGGGGGGCGACGTGGAGTTGGTTTTGAAAAACCCGATCCCAGGAGACAGCAACTCCGTCTATTTGTCTCTCTTTGTGTTTGAGGGGCCCGACGTGCTGCAGCAGCTGCTGCTTGCTGCTGCAGCACAGCTGCTGCGGGAGCCTTTCTTCGAAGAGTTAAGAACGGAAAACAAAGATGGATATGTTGCAGCAGCAGAGCTGCTGCAGCTGGCTCCTGCTGCTGCTATTGCCACTATTGTCCAGGTGAGCAGCAGCAACACAACACCGCTACTCCTGCTGCTGCTGCTGCTGCTGCTGCTGCTGTTGCTGCAGCAAGGCGAGTAGCAGCAGCGGCAGCAACTGCCGCACTCCCTGCAGCGGCCTGCTGTTCCTCAGCCCCTCCAAACCCCCCACCCCACCCCAACCCCTAAACCCTAAACCCTAAACCCTAAACCCTAAACCCCAACCCCTAAACCCTAAACGCTAAACCCTAAACCCTGCTGCGGGTCTCTGGCGTCAGAGTTCGGTGCGGGCCCCGGAGCAGCTGCAGCAGCACGTGTGCAGCTTTTTGCACGAAATTTCGAGCAGCTTCGGAGAAGGTGTGGGGCCGCTGCAGCAGCGGCTGCAGTGGATTGGCAGCAGCCAACTCGCCAGCCAAAGAAGCTCCTTCGCAGACTTCTTCGAGGGGTCCTGCCGCTGCTGCTGCTGCTGCTGCTGCTGCTGCTGCTGCTGCTGCTGATGCTGCTGCTGCTGCTGCTGCTGCTGCTGCTGCTGATGATGATGATGATGATGATGATGATGATGATGATGAGGAGGATGATGATGCTGCTGCTGCGGCTGCTGATGATTATGATGCTGCTGATGCAGCTGATGCTGCTGCTGCTGCTGCTGCTGGTGATGATGGTGATGATGATAATGATGATGCTGCTGCTGATGATGTTGCTGCTGATGACGCTGCTACTGATGATGCTGCTGCTGCTGCTTCTGCTGCTGCTTCTGCTGCTGCTGCTGCTGTGGTTTGTGCTGGTGCTGCTGCTGCTGCTGCTGTTGCTGCTGCTGTTTTGCTGCTGTTGTGTTGCTGCTGTTGTTTACGCTGCGGTTGTTTTGCAGCTGCTTTGCTGCTGCTGCTCTGCTGCTGCGGTGGTGCTGCTGCTCGTGCTGCTGCTGCTGTTACTGCTTCTACTATTTGCACTACAACTGCTGCTGCTGCTGCTGCTGCATCTACTATTTGTACTCCAACTGCTGCTGCTGCTGCTGCTGCTGCTGCTGCTCTCAGGGTTGCCTCCCAGTTGTCTTCTCGGAAGCTTTGCTTTACGGAGCCGCAAGTGAGAAAATAAATAAAATTAAAAATTAAATTAAATTAACTAAATTAAATTAATTAAATTAAATTAATTAAATTGATTAAATTAAATTAATTAAATTAAATTAATTAAATTAAATTAAGTTAATTAAATTCAATTAATTAAATTAAATTAATTAAATTAAATTAATTAAATTGATTAAATTAAATTAATTAAATTAAATTAATTAAATTAAATTAAATTAATTAAATTCAATTAAGTAAATTAAATTAATTAAATTAAATTAATTAAATTAATTAAATTAAATTAATTAAATTAAATTAATTAAATTAAATTAACTAAATTAAATTAATTAAATTAATTAAATTAAATTAATTTAATTAAATTAATTAATTTAAATAAATTAAATTAAATTATTTAAATTAAATTATTTAAATTAAATTAATTAAATTAAATTAATTTAAGTAAATTAAATTAATTAAATTACATAAATAAATAGATTAATAAGTGCTTTATTTTGATATTCATATTGCTGCCGCTGTGTAGATGTGACTAACGCGCATGCAGCTGCATGCGCATTTGTTTTTAATTAATTAATTAATTTATTTATTGTTTATTTATTTATTTATTTATTTTATTTAAAATATTTAAATTAAATTAAAAAGGAAATATATTTAATTTTTATTTGCTGCCAAAGTAGACCCCGGCTGCTTCCTTCTAGCCTACAGAGTCATTACGGGCATGTAGAAACGCCTGCTGCTGCTGCTGCTGCTGCTGCTGCT